TCTCTCGCCGAGACTGTTAATTTGTGAATATTCCGATTTCTAATTAACAAAATGCTCATAATAGATAATAGTCTATTATTAAGAGGAACGTGGGACACCGACGCAAAGTTTTAATCAATTTAGTTTACGGTTCGTTTTTGACGAAACTTTTCCACGAAGGTATACAAAAACACGTTCTATAGTGAGCTTTCCAGTTTCATTAAAGGCAGAGTAATAAAATAGTAATCAAGACTTACGGTACAACATTGAAATTTAAGTGAGTCGAGTGCACGCGAGGTTGGCAGGCTTCCAATCTCGATTCTCCACGAGGAAGAAATTTTGTATTAACAGTGGAACTGCCCAGCTCTTTAAATCACTGATTTTATATCTCTTGTTCTCATCATCAGAAATTATTAAGTAAATTAAAGTGTTCGCGGTTTCTCTAGTGGCCCACAAACTAGCAGTTTTATCGAGCAGTTTTAATGTTTCGTCAGCAATCTAAGATTCCATTATAAAGATTAAATTGTAATTTAACAAAAATGTTTCTTTCCACTATACGTCACGGTATTAACTGTTATTATCAGTATAACTAGTATAACCACTATTATCTATCTGCTCAGAGATAAATTAAAACTTTAGCAGTTTTAATACTACATCTACCGAGACGCTTGCTAAAATAATAGGATTCACGTTTTTAAAATTTTAAAGTTGCTGAATCGATTTTAAATTAATTAATTATATTGAAGTTGCTTGAAGAAATTTCTTAATCGAAACATGCATTATAATGAAAATGGCGAAAGGCACTCATTGTCATAAAGCAACATAGTTTACTTTTAGAGCTCGGTACGTTTAGCGTTAATTAATCAAGAACGAAGCGAACATTCCGGACAATCAAACGCATTATTAATTCTCCTTTCAAGAATAATTATCCAATAATGGTACCAATGTAGCATCGCGATCAAGAAATTACCTTTGAAATTCTCCGTCAGTTTATTCAACTAAAATCACACTGGCTCCCAGAATGTCAATCGTATTCGCTCGTCTCATCGGCCCTGCAAACCGGAGAAGGTCTTTTCCAGTATTTATGGTTATCAATTATCGCGTGCGCAAAGTACGCTCGTTCATTAACTAAGATCCGCCTGGTTGCCGGTTCATTCATTGGGCAGACGCATATTAATAAATAATCTATGAATTCAAAGGGGCTTAACACTAATCCTGAAACGCAAACGACATGCTGTACGTAGTCGTTGCAAACAGTCGCTCGCAATTATTTGACCTGGCTAATTATTCTCCGCGAAATGGCGTCGCATTGACCGGCGAAACCCTGGGAAATCTGGAAACTCTCCTAATTGGTCCGCCGCAAAATGGAACGAACAGGCATTTCGGCTAGGAAAAAATACTCGTGCAAATAAACTGACGTGTCTCCGTTGGCGTGTCCATCGGGAACAAAGACAATAAATTAGTTTAGCGCATTGGTACATTTTTTTAATGATTAAATTGTCACATTACAAGTATACAATCCTAATTAGAAGAGTCCGAGGAAACATCATCTCAACATTTTCCTCTGCTATTTTATTCTGCTATTTTATTCTGCTATTTTATTCTGCTATTAACTCTTTGCAGTCGAAGCTATTTGAATTCGAAATCCAAAACATGATTTCTGATCTACAGTATTTCTATTTTATATAATTTATTGCGATTTATGCATATGAAATTGAGCCTATTGGCAAGTACAATGCAATTTTAATAGTTTTTTAAAGATATAAACGAGTCTGATGCTTTTAAAATGATTTTGAAAAATAGTATACCAATTTTTAGCGGTGCCTCAGAGTCGCTACACGAGTGCAAACGGTTAATATTGGCCTGTGTATATAAACCGTCGAATTTTTAAAAGAATAGTACAAATTTCGTATCTTCTTTTTGAAAGATGTTCATTTAATTACAAAGCAAGGCCTATTCGCTTCGATACACTTTTTCCGGCAAGTTTATAGTACGTAAACACCATTTTTAATGTTGTTCTGATCTTTTGAATGAATAAAATCGGCTTATAAACAAATTGCGCGAAAATTCGCAAAATTCGTACTCATACGAAACTGAAAATAAATGGCAAGGATACAGAATTTTGAAAAAATCGTTTTGGAAGAAAGGAAAATGAATAAATATTCATGAAAAAATATAACACTGACAACACACGGTAAAACTCTAAAATAGATTACGTCAGTGTTAGACGTAATCAGGGAATATATATATCATTTATACATAATAAAAACTCGACGTTTTATGTGCAGCAATTGAATAGTCTCTTTCATAGAGAATGCTCGAAGAAATTTCTTCATGCAAGCATACATTAAAATCAAAATTGTGAGAAGTCCAAATAAATTCAGTTTTGTCATCGTTACGAAGTAATCCATGTCAGTCACGCAGTAGATTTAGTGTTAAGAACACGATCAAGAAGTACAATCATTTGTTCAACACAACTTGCATCGCTTTTTACTTTAAACGTAGGCATAACAACGACGTAAGAAGCAATTCTTCCATTGTCCTCATTATTTCGTAATTATCGCGAAAAAGTTGCCACGTTTCTAAAAACAAAATTCAAATTAATTGTGCAGAATGTGAAACGAGCGACGAGTTTTTTCCATTTCGAACGCCCCAATTTGTTGCACCGTGCGCTAGAATCAGAGAAACGTTGTTCTATCTGATCCCGAAAAAGCGGCGACCGAAAGTTCGGTATCGCCGCCGAGATCGGTCGGCTGATAATTAGACAACGAGAGCAAGCGTCCCTCTATTATTCTAACTTAATTAATCGTCTGGCGTTGCCTGTCCCGGCATATTTAAATTATTCGAACGCCGGTGTCAATTGGTCGTGCAAATAATCGCGCGCCCTGCCGATCGATGAATTAATTATCACCGCAATGCTGACATTAGTTATACGACCGGTAATGTACACGCAACACCGGCTCGCGTGAGCGTAAATATGGCCGAGATTCGATGGATCGTTCGATCGGTTCACGTTACTTTCGACGCTATTTGGGTTGTTGCCCCCAGGCCAGGATAGAGCTACCGTTTCGCGCCGGTGCTATGTCTTTTAATGAAGTTGTTACGTGCTCGTTCTTCCTCATTTTACCTCGTCCTTCCTCGTACACCCTGCTCTCTTTCTCTCTCTCTCCGACTCTATCGTTTTCATGCCATAACCATAATCCCGTATTAACCCCTAATACGTGCAGTGAAATACGTGCTAACTAACAGCTAGGGTCAACGCATAGCCGCGGATGTTCGCGACGTTTTCTTCGTCTTCGGGGAGACATCCAAGAACTTCCCGAAGAGCCGGCAGAGTTATCCAACTGAATCCTCGCTGCTGGTTTTGCTGACGTGATAGCGATTATTGGACCGCGGATTTTCAATGAAAACGAACTAGATGAATTTCAGGTATTATTATGTTGTCGTCGATCTACAGAAACGATTGAAAGATGACATACATTTCAGTTTAACTTCTGTTTCTTATACAATTATACGATTTATTATATACTTATATAATTTGTATTTTACACGAAGATCTACAATCTGTTAATGTTTTTGATCATTATAGCGAAAACGAACTAGATGAATTTCAGGTATTATTATGTTGTCGTCGATCTACAGAAACGATTGAAAGATGACATACATTTCAGTTTAACTTCTGTTTCTTATACAATTATACGATTTATTATATACTTATATAATTTGTATTTTACACGAAGATCTACAATCTGTTAATGTTTTTGATCATTATAGCGAAAACGAACTAGATGAATTTCAGGTATTATTATGTTGTCGTCGATCTACAGAAACGATTGAAAGATGACATACATTTCAGTTTAACTTCTGTTTCTTATACAATTATACGATTTATTATATACTTATATAATTTGTATTTTACACGAAGATCTACAATCTGTTAATGTTTTTGATCATTATAGCGAAAACGAACTAGATGAATTTCAGGTATTATTATGTTGTCGTCGATCTACAGAAACGATTGAAAGATGACATACATTTCAGTTTAACTTCTGTTTCTTATACAATTATACGATTTATTATATACTTATATAATTTGTATTTTACACGAAGATCTACAATCTGTTAATGTTTTTGATCATTATAGCGAAAACGAACTAGATGAATTTCAGGTATTATTATGTTGTCGTCGATCTACAGAAACGATTGAAAGATGACATACATTTCAGTTTAACTTCTGTTTCTTATACAATTATACGATTTATTATATACTTATATAATTTGTATTTTACACGAAGATCTACAATCTGTTAATGTTTTTGATCATTATAGCGAAAACGAACTAGATGAATTTCAGGTATTATTATGTTGTCGTCGATCTACAGAAACGATTGAAAGATGACATACATTTCAGTTTAACTTCTGTTTCTTATACAATTATACGATTTATTATATACTTATATAATTTGTATTTTACACGAAGATCTACAATCTGTTAATGTTTTTGATCATTATAGCGAAAACGAACTAGATGAATTTCAGGTATTATTATGTTGTCGTCGATCTACAGAAACGATTGAAAGATGACATACATTTCAGTTTAACTTCTGTTTCTTATACAATTATACGATTTATTATACACTTGTACAATTTTTATTTTACACCAAGATCTACAATCTGTTAATGTTTGATCATTATACTGAGAATCTTTGAACATTCAAAGTGCAAACGTGACGGACAATCATGTTCATTGAAATTGAAAGAGTTTCATTTATTGCATTGTTAAAGAAAGTAAAATTTTCCATCGATTTTGTTTTGTTACACATTTGTAACCGAACAATGTATGCAACTGTGTTGGATCGAAATCCAACGAATCGTTTGCTTTATCTTTCGTGAATGAAATCTGCTAACAACGAAAATTAAATTTCAGAACAAAAATTCTCCATTTAATCTAATATTTAAGTTTGCACGGAGTTCTGCGATTTAATGCAGAGTTATTTCCTCGAATTAATTAATTTCCCGTGTGCCGAAGTAAGTGGCTTGGTTAAAAGATTTAACGCATAATACGGTCGAATCGTTTGAGTTTAGGAATTTAAAGGAATATCAAAGACAAAGGTTATACGAGCGAGCAGAACGACAAAGAGATTGCATTTCCAGACAGTTGTCGAAAAGCTTTCACAATAAAATAGGAGAGAGCGATGTTTATCCGTGATACTGTCCCGAAAGTATATTCCTGCGCTAACGAATTCTATAGGATAACAGCGGGAACGCTTGTTCGAAAAATTAAGGTAACGAAGTTCGGGACATAAATAAAAAGGACGGCGCGACTGCTAATGAACGAAGTAATTAACCGAGCAAGATTCTGTGTGACAATATTTCGCGAACAGTCAGCACGCGGCATGCTTGAAAACAGCAGTCACAAAGCCTTCGCATCCTTAATGCAAAATGAAGGGGGTTCGGTACAAAGGCCGACACGGTTGCGTATCTTACCTCGATCAATTTTCCAACAGTTTTCCGGCATTAAGCTTGCAACGCCACTTAGCAACCCTTTGAGGACCGACGTTTTTCTCGAAAATGAAATCTCCTCGTTTAATTATGTTCCGTTTGTGCACCGCACTTTGATCCGGGATCCATTGCTTCGTCGTGCAGCTGCCGGGCCTGCATGCCGGCAACCTTGCAATTAAAATATGTTTGCAAACGAGGCCGTCATAAAGTCGCCATTTTAAAATGCTTCTACCTTGCGCGACGTAATTATTGGGATAATAAGATTGGCAAGCCTTAATCAACCGCGCCCCCCCCTCCCACGCGCATCTTAATTCATTGTCCGCGAACTGAATATTGTTTATAGAAAACAAAGGGAATTTATTAACTTACGGCCGGTTTATATGTATGAATATTCAACAGCGCCCGAAGCTCTAATTTTCTGCCTGAAAAAATCCTCTCCGCGCAGAAAACCTGAACCGCTGCTTACACTCTGTTTAAATAAAAAGAAAAACATGTCAAGGTTATTATTATTATTACTGCAACATTAATACTCTTTCTCCGCAAGATTTAAATCTCGAAGAATACGTTTTGTTGAATGAAATGCACATTCGTTGATAAATGTCAGTAGCAAGAAACACCTTTACCTTATTTTCTTCTCTCAATCTTCCTGGCTTTGTTGATCTCGCAAGGTCGGGCCAGCCTGTCGATAGCATCTTGTATTTACATTTTTCACGACTCGTGCGACTTGTCCCTTCAATCTCGACAAATCCACGCGATTCCATCGCTATTTAAACAGAAACGATATAGTAAGAAGACTGGAACTAAAATTCACTCTTGACCTAATTTAACTCTTAACTCTTAAACCATATATAATCGATTGATTTCCAGGGTAATTTTCCACAATCGTGCCCTTCGCAACACTAAAATGTTTTCACACTGATTTCTGTTCCATTCTAATTTCAGTTTTAATGAGGAAATGATTAAACTAGCGAAGAAAATTATCAGACCGAAGCTTCGAGAAGTCGGCTAAATTGAAAACGGAAAGTCGTTTAATTGAACGAATCATTTACAGAGAATTCAAATATTTCGAAAAGTATTGTAAGTCTTCAACTGCGCCATAGATTTGCAATAAAATCTCTTTCCCATTTGTTAATATTGTGTAAATAATAGGTACAAATAAATACCGGATAAGGAAAAGAAGCTTAAATACCGCTCCTTGCGGTATGAAATTTCACCGCAAGATCGCGTTTTCCACGAGCTTGTTAACGTAATCACGATCATCCCTGCAGTTTGTCCGAGAATTTCAAATAAAACCGTGCAACACCTGCGACTTTACAAGTTAAGCACCCCTTCTAAGCACCCAGATGGCCCCGATAAAAAATATTATTTTACAATTTAAGCGGGCTTAAAGCGTTCACCGAAATGAAGCGCAGAAAATACGCGCAGCCCTTAATACCTCACCCCCATAATCCCTCGCGAGCCGTTTTTCGTTTTTTCGTCTCGTCGAACGATCCTCCGATCGGCGATCGTTCCGAGAAAAAAAAACTCGAACACCGTCTTCCAGCATCGCCGAAAAGAGAATCGCTTAAGTATTCGGGTAATCCCGGCGCATAAATAGCCCGAAATCAGAGCGAGCCGATACACTTAAGTCCGGGCGGCGCGGCAATTAAGCGGTTTCCCTTAATGAAACGCATTTTTATTGTCTCATCAGGGCAACGCGTTCGGGCCGATTCGAATTACGCGGTAACCGAAATGCATGCAAATGGTGGACGCTGGTGTGTGTCGGTCCAAGATACCGGCTACCTGGCCAATTAATGGCCGTATGCAAAAGTAATTGCCGCTTCTGGGCCCGACATTTTACTCGAATATCAAGCGATTAGTGCAATAATACTTAATCGAATGTCTGCTCCCCGTTTCGCGCAAGCTTCCGGCTGCTTTTCGAGGAAATTCGCGCGATGCGCGCCGCCATCGTGAACGGTGTTTTCGCGATCTGGCGAAATCGTGAATGCTCTGCGGGCTTTTTCCCCTCTTAAAATTCTATTCTCGGTGCTTTCGGCACACCCTCGTTCTGTGGCAGGCTATTGCGATTTACATATTTGGTCGAGGAAGCTGTTGCATTTGTTTGAAGCAAATGTGCTGCGAAAATTTCGAATTGTGGAAAATATAAGTACATAGAATAAAATACTAAAATATAAGTACATTTTGTGGAGAGATCGTACACTTGTTAGGCAAATAATTATTATAATACCGAGTTTTTTTATACGCACCGATAAGTTATGAAATCTTGATAGTGCTTGTAACAGGTTGAATAACTGAAAATTAACATTCAGATTACGTTTTACATAAAAATGTGCATGCTTATATGTATATTATTGGTATGTAATATCCTCCTCTGTCCAATTATTAGCTACGTGTACGGTTGAAAACCTTTTTTCTGTGATTTCTTGTGCGGAACACGCAAGTATAGTAAATTTTCTCCAATCGACACTCAACATGTAAATAGAGATGGGCAGTCGTTAATAATCGGCGACTATAAAAACGAGTCGCGAGGCTCAAATAATCGTGTCTCCTGTTCCCAAATTGTCCACTTTTGTTTACAAGCTGAAGGACAATTGGAGAGAATTTACTGTATAATATTTTAAACATTTTCTTAAAGTGTCTTAAATAAGACTTTTTGGAAGCACTGAAGCGCTGAATAATACAAGTAAATTAACATATTAGGTAAATTTCACGTGTATAGCGGATTAATAACAATATTTACGTTTACCGTTAATTATTGAAACATTTACCTTAATTACATTACATTTCGAAAAAATGAAGTTTCAGAGTTTGTATTGGAATTGAGGCGAATCGTAGAATAATTATAAATGTAAAAAAAGTAAAGACAAATAGATTTCACAATATGATTATTTTTACTTCACTTTCATTTCGATGAAAGTCTCTTCCCAAATGGTCCACTTTTGTTTACAAGCTGAGGGTCAATTGGAGAGAATTTACTGTATAATATTTTAAACATTTTCTTAAAGTGTCTTAAATAAGACTTTTTGGAAGCACTGAAGCGCTGAATAATACAAGTAAATTAACATATTAGGTAAATTTCACGTGTATAGCGGATTAATAACAATATTTTCGTTTACCGACAATTATTGAAACATTTACCTTAATTACATTACATTTCGAAAAAATGAAGTTTCAGATTTTGTATTGGAATTGAAACGACTCGTAGAATAATTATAAATGTAACTAAAGTAGAGAGATAAATAGATTTCACAGTACGATTGTTTTCATTTCGCTTTCATTTCGATAATTCGCGCGCAACTGTCTGCCACCCTCTACTAAATCAATCCACTTACGCGTTTTACAACGGAATGTAAAAGTTGATCAAACACAAATACAGATCGTCTGGCCAGCAATCCCGGCGTGAATATTATTGTTTGGGAATAAAGTAAACGTGGACAGATACCACGATACAATGCCATACAATACCAATAAAGTTTATCTGCAGCATTTTTCCGACTATGATTAATTTTTATTTGGACGTCTCTGATATTCCGGTTCCCAGCAAATAAATAAAGAATGTATCAGATACCAACCGGCAGACACGGATGATCGCCGGCGGTGAAATGTTGGAAAAATATTTTAATAACATGATATAGCTCGGACATCGCAGTTCTATGCAGCGATGAAACAGCTTACAATTTAAAAATACGATATGCGCGTCGGTGAAACGATGAGTATTTATTTAACGAAAATTATTAGTTCGTTTCGACTTGCGAGCACAAGATAGATTGCAATATTTTATGCATCTTCAACGGAATGTTTTCCTTGCCGCAATGGTGATAGGTTTTGAAAAGGAACGTGGCAAATGTAGTTTGGTAAATCGACTGCTCTAGTTCTTCTATCTTTCAACCGGTTTCCATTGTCAGGGACGATTATTGGCCCGTGCCCGAATCATTCGTTATACCGGAAGGGTAGTTACCGGCGTCCAAACGTGATAATGCGCCGACCAATGACAGATCGACACGTGGATTAACGACGCCACTGATTCATGGGTCGCGTTGATCTCCGATACCGTTTCCGTATTGACAACTACTTTCGAAGCGCTGTCCCACGGATCAAGTTCAAACGTTTCTCTTCTTTGTATACACGAAATTCGGCGCACAATGTCGATACTAGATACATTCTTAGTCATTTTTAACCCTTTGCACTCGAAGCTGAATTAACGCAAAATTGAAAATAGTTTTTCCGATCCACGGTTTTTCCATTTTACATGACTTAGTGCATTTCACGCATACGAAATTGAATATTGCGATCCATGCAACAGTTACGCTTTCAACAGCTCCTTAAATATAAATAGATTTGGTTAATAAAATTATTTTGAGACGTGAGATAACAATTTCGATTCTTCACACCGGCCATTTGATATTTCACTAAAACTTGATATATTATTTGTAATTATTAATTATCGTATATATAACAATGCAACAAACTTCTTATGACCCATTCTTGTGATGGAAATTAATGATTCAGTTCTAAAGCCGCGGATTGCATTTTTGCTGAGGAAAAAATTACTTGAAATTAACTCAGGAATCCCTCATATCCCGGAAATACCATAATTTTGGAACACCCTGTATATCAATATATATCGACCACCAAAAAAAAACAAAATGGTTTAGAAGAAATGGATTTTTCTAAAAAAAAACCACAACATTTTTCTTTTGTGCCCCTTTCGATTAAGTTTGTTTGTACGTTACCTTATAATAAACTTTGCATTATTAATTGCATTGTTATTTTTTACAGGTAATTTACAAAATTCTCGTTTATCTAAATATTAAGGTTAATGACTGGACTGCAGATTTTATGCATTTATGGGAAAATTGGGTAGTTACAATTAGCGTAAAAATTAAAAGCCGTTTAAAACACCGAAGTATTATTTTTAGCCTATTAAAATGATTAAAGGAAAAATAAAAATTGTTACTTTCTCTACCAATTCCTTGCAATTGATTAAGACAATTTTTATTTTGCATAAAACACCGCGGTCTATTAATGATCTACACTGATCGCCTTACGAGCAGTTCATATATAAAAATCTGTAGTATTGTACAAATATTTTAGCTCCCACCGACGAATTGTTTCATCGCACACAAGCGAATGCAGAATTGAAAGAAGAAAAGGAACTAAACAGTCTCGGTCGTTAAATCTCCGTGGCCAAAGTTTGTACACAGGAATTCGATTACGCTTAAAAACCAGTGGTTCCCGACTTTTCCACGGTTCGGAGACCGGTCCCTCCAGATTCACAGGACACAGAGCTCGCCTCGTAATTCACGGATCGACACCTGGCGAACGACTTCTGCCGGTCCGGGTCACACCGTTCGTTCGGTCGCGCTCCGTTTCGCTCGGCGCTCTCGCGCGCGGGCCGCTGCTCCGGACTCTGCGAGGACAAAAAAGGCTCGCTCGTCACGTCGTGGCCTCCGAGAGATTTATGCGGCGTGTCTCCGAAAAACTCGGCCGTTCGCCGGCTTGATCTATACGCTTCCTCCGTGAGTTGTTGTTTTGCCGGGCGGAGGGTCACGCCGCGCCATGGTTCCGTCAAAAGTTCGAACGATGCGCCCCCGTGAATCCGGCCGTGAAATCTGCTGCTGTTCGGAGAACTATGTACTCGCGACGATTTATGTACTGGCCTCCTGTCGTAAAATATATCTCCGCTACAGCGCGAAATAATCACCCAGTTGGCTAAATGAATGCGCCGTCGCTTCGTGACAAAACGCTCGACTATGATCGG